GGGCGGGGGCGGGTAGCGCGGGGCGGCGGGGCCCGGGCCCCGGCACCGCCCCCCGGCGCGCGTGCAGCTTGCGGTGCTGGACGAAGCTGGCGCTCCACTTGAAGGCTTTGCCGCACGCGGCGCACTCGTAGGGCCTCTCGCCGGTGTGCAGCCGCCGGTGCTGGACCAGCGTGACCTTCTGGCTGAAGGCCTTGCCGCACTCCTGGCAGCCGTAGGGCCTCTCCCCGGTGTGCACCCGCCGGTGCACGGCAAAGCGCGAGCTGCAGCTGAAGGTCTTCCAGCACTCGGTGCACTTGAACAGCTTCTCGCCCGTGTGCAGCCGCCGGTGCTGGAGGAAGGCGGAGCTGCGGCCGAAGGCCTTCCCGCACTCCTCGCACGCGTACGGCTTCTCCCCGGTGTGGGTTCGCTGGTGCTGGCCGAGCACCGACGCGGAGCTGAAGCTCTTCCCGCACGCCTGGCACTCGTAGGGCTTCTCCCCGGTGTGGATTCGCTCGTGCACGAGGCGGTCGTAGCTGCACCGGAAAGCCTTGCCGCAGGCCTCGCACTGGAAGGGCTTCTCCCCCGTGTGGACCCGCCGGTGGCGGCGGAGTTTGGAGTTGTAGCTGAAGGTTTTCCCGCAGTCCTGACACGCGTAGGGCTTGTCGCCGCCGTGCAGTTTCCGATGCTGCCGGAGGTGGGAATTCTGGCCGAAGGCCTGCCCGCACTCCTGGCACGAGTAAGGCCTCTCCCCGGTGTGGCTCTTCTGGTGGCGGGCCAGCTTGGAGCTGTACCTGAAGGCCTTCCCGCACTCCTTGCATCCGAAGGGCCTGTCATCCGTGTGGACGCTCTGATGCCGCTGCAGGTCTGAAGGCAAGCCGAAACACCGGCCGCGCTCGCCGCACGCGTAAACCGCCGGTCCCCGGCGCAGGCCCGGCTTCGTCAGGACACGGACACCGGCGCTTCCCTGCGGTGTGCTGGCTGGCTCCTCCCTTTCCCTGGTGGAGGGTCTGTACCCCTGCACCAGCCGGTCCGTGAAACCCCCGCCGTGTGAGCCCGTGTCCGCCCCCAGGTCACACAGCGGTGGCTCCTCCAAGCTGGCTTTAAGGTGAGGCTGCTGGGGACCGTCCGGGAGCAGCCCCTCCACCGCCAGTCTCTGGGCCGCCGATGCTCCAGAAACGTCCGGCCTTGGGGTTTGCTCCTCCTTCGCAGTCTTGTTTTTACCACCTGGCATGAGAAAAAAAGGAAACAGAGGAGGCACTTACTAAGGCTACAAGGGGAAAGGGATTAGGCGGTAATAGTACTGTTGGGAGAGAGACAGGGCTACCTGAGGATGCCCGGAAGGGAGAGAAAAGTCCTGGGGGCGGAGAAGGCGAGCCAGGCCATTTGGACACGAAAAGCCTCGCACGCGGGCGGCAGAAGCTATCCACCCAGAGGAGTGAAGAATAAGAGGAGCGGGGTGGAGAAGGTGCTGGAAGGGAAAGCGGTGAAGAAAGAGGGAGCTGACGGGGAGAAGGAGATCTCTAAGGTGGAGAAGAGAGCTGGGTGAGCAGCCCCAGGCCACCCAGCGCCCGGGGCTGGGAGTCGCAGCCTGCAACAGTGGACCCCAAGGCCCAGGCGTGGGATGGGGCCTGACCAAATGCTCCAAACCGTTCTGTGACCTTTAGAGAGGATTCTGTCCTAAGCCTGGCTGGAGAGAAAACAATGGGCCATACTGCCAATCATGAAGGGTCCACAGGAGGACCATGATTTCAAAACCCACACCGTGCACTCTGAGACACTTACCTCTGAAAGGAAAAGGGTGTAGATTTTATGTTAAAAAAAAAAAAGGAGTGATGCATGTATGACAGATTTTATACTATTTTGGTCTATTTAAGTCTAGTATAGTCCAGACTAAATTTTTTTTTTTTTTACATTTTTATTTTATTTTTGAGAGAGAGACAGCGTGCGAGCAGGGGAGGGGCAGAGAGAGGGGGAGACACAGAACCCGAAGAGGGCTCCAGGCTCCGAGCTGTCAGCACGAGGGCTCGAACTCACCCACTGTGAGATCAGGACCTGAGCTGAAGTCAGATGCTTAACCGACTGAGCCACCCAGGTGCCCCCAGACGCATTTGTTTTTAAAGGAGTCTTCTCTATTAGAATAACTAGGGTTTTTTTTACAACTATGTAATTTTTCAAATCTTTTAAATTAAGTAATTAATTAATATATTTCAAGTGATCTCTACACGCAACATGGGGCTCAAACTCACAACCCTGAGATCAAGAGTCACATGCTCAGGGTGCCTGGATGGCTCAGTTGGTTAAGTTTCCGGTTCTTGAGTTTGGCTCAGGTCATGATCTCCAGCCCCACATCAGGCTCTGCACTGGCAGCTCAAAGCCTGCTTACGATTCTCCCCCTCTTTCTGTCGCTCCCCTGCTCACACTCTGTCTCTCTCAAAATAAATAAATAAACTTAAAAAAAAAAAAAAAGAGAGAGTCACATGATCTACCAACTGAGCCAGGCACCCCCCACCCCAACTTCCAGGGTAATTTTTAAATGCTAAGCACAACTCAATGATGAGATGCAACCCAGAGTTTAAATGATATGGTTTGAGGGGCACCTGGGTGGCTAAGTCAGTTAAGCATCTTTTTTTTTTT